GCGGTTGGCGCAGGATAGAGCAGGGTTTAGGGCTGTTGTGCATAGGGTCGCTATGAGTCGGAAACGACTCGACGGCACATAACAACAACAACAACTAACAGATGCTCCCCTGGTGTCATGACCAGGTTATGCCAAGAAATCTCAAGGACAACTACTTGGCCAGCTAACTAGAAGAGATCCATATTTAAGATGATCCAACAAAGTGTGTAAATTATCCAGTAATATCACTAATATCACATGCAAGCAAAATTCCTCTGACGATTATCCAAAAATGACTGGAACAGTATATTTACAGTGAGGTACCAGAAATACAAGCTTCGTTAACAAGAGGCTGTGGCATTAGGGACATCATAGCCAATGTCAGATGGATCTTGGCTGAAAACACTACCAGAGGAATGTTTCAATGTTTCATTGGATATACAAAGGTGTTTGATTATGTGGAACACAACAAATTGTGGCTAACAATGAGAATAATGGGGACTTCAGAACACCTCATTGTGCTCATGCTTGGACCAAGAGGCATTAGTCAGAACAGAGCAAGGAAACACTGCATGGTTCAAAATCAGAAAAGGGATACATCCTTCTCCTACCTTTTCAATATATTTGCAGAACAGATCACTCTGGAGGCTGGATTTTATGAGGAGGAATGTGGCATCAGGATTGGAAGAAGACTCATACAACAACTTGTACATGGCACAACGAAGGAGGACCTGAAGTGTTTGCTGCCTAAGGTCTAGGACTGCACTCTTCAATAAGGATTGAAGCGCACCATCATGAAGACTTCTCACTAATGGGCAAGATGGAGAAGAGATTGAGGTTGTTAACAATTACAGCTTGCTTGGCTCCACAACCAACACTCTTGGCACAAGAAGTCAGGGAGTCAAAAGTCAAATTGCATTGGGGAAGTTTGCTGTCAGGGACCTCTTCTGAGCACCGGAGACCAACGATATCAGTGTAGAGACTAAGGTGCACCTGATCCAGGCCATAGCCTTCACAATTACTTACTATGCATCAGAGAGTTGGACAGTGACTAAGGATGACAGAAGAAGAATTGATACCTTTGAGCTGTGGTGCTAGAAGAGAGTATTGAACATACCGTGGGCTACCAAGAGAACAAACAGATTTTTCCTGGAGAGGGTGAAACCAAGTTGTTCTTATCTCCTTAGAGACAAGGAGCAACTCTCATACTTTAGACATGTTGCTAGGAGGGACCAGTCCTTGGAGGACACACTTAGAAGGGTGGAGCGACAATGCAAGAGGAAGACCCTAGATGAGATCTGTTGACACAATAACTGGAATAATGGGAGTGGATGTGGTGGAGACAGGGAGACTGGCTCAAAGTAGGGAAGGGCTCAGAGCTGTTCTACATAGGGTCTCAGTGAGTCACAGGTGACTTGATGGCACATAGCAAGTGTTATAAATTACCCATTTTCACTTGGAACATCTTAACCTTGGATGCTCCATGATTCTGAAGTACTATGCAGTTAGTCTTAAAGTAGGGAGAGGATCATTTTGAGTGGATGCCTGTGAGCATCCACTGCTTTCGAAGGTGTCCCCTCTACTGCACCAAGAATGTAGTGACTTTCAGGTGGAAGTTAAAAGAGTGTGTTCTTCCTGTGCAAGAACCTATGGCTCACAATGATATGGGTAGGCCAACAAAGCCAGATGGTTAACAGTCTTCAAATTATGTACATGAATGAAGCACAATATATATGAATAATTGTATGCAAACTAATAAAAGAAAATATTTTTCAAATAAAATTTTCTCTTAATTACAGGTTAAAATAATAGTTTGATATATTAGATCACTGAATATATTGAGATTATTTTCACCTGTTTTTAAAAAAGGATTCTTCATCTTGCTAGTTTTTCTTCTAGTGCTTAATGAAAGTTAATTTACTTTTATTTATTCCAAGATAAAGATGATAAATTGGATTTTCTTTTTTTCCCCACATACTTCAAATTTATAGGTTTAATAATGGCAAGGCAATAGGACTCAAGTTATGGCCCATCAAATATTTACTCCACTGGCATTATCTATACAAGCACTTGGCCAATTTGTACACAGTGATTCTTTATGCACGCCAAAAGAGTTTCCATAAAAATGACACTATATACTGATCCACCAGAGCAATTTTCCAACTCCTTTAAGAGTTATCAACTTAAAGCAGGATACTTTAGGTTTAGTTTTCTTCAGTTGCCTTATCATAATCCTAAATACACATTTCAGGGTTGGTTTCTGTTTTTAAAGACATGTTACTTGAATATATGCACTGTGGTTAAAATAAAAAACAGAACCAATAAAATAAACTGATTATTCCCTGTCTACTCAATCAGAGAGGCATCATTTTGCTCTGGCACATACAGGGCTACAGCTCCCTGGGTAAGCCCCAAAGTCTCAAGCCTCTTCTTGGAGTTAACAAAAAGCTCTCCTTGACTTTTTAAAAAGAAGAACGATGAAAATTTTAAAAATGGGAGAGGGAAACTACCCCCAAATGCCATAGACATTTCAATGAAATGAAGTTCCTCCACCACATAGGAAATATCTCTGGAGCCAGGGCATAAGCTGGGCCACCATGGTGTCAATATCCTGGGGCATGCCTCTTCTACTAGGTAGATGGCCCCTTGACGTTCCTCTGTGGACCCCAGGTTACCTCTGCAAGCTTGTCCCTTTCCCTTCGGCTCTCCAAGGAGCTGCCTGGTTGTGAACACTGGGAAGAGTCACCCTCACGTCCTGTACAAGCCAAGCATCTCTGGGGAGGCAGGGTTCCCAGGATGAGGTCACACAGTCTGTGCTCCTGGATGTCCCATTAGGAATCTAGTACAGCATGAGGGTGAATGCCTGAGGTGGAGATAAATTGGATTTGCAAATAGTGTACTTTTGGGGAAGAAAAGAGGGAGGACCATCAGTGGTTCTTTTCTTTTGTTTTCCACAAAGGACATATTTTCCAAGAATTATATGAGTTACTTGGTGTGCTTAAAGCAGTTTTCAGTCCATGCTTTGTTTTATTATTTTGAGGAAATGTTCCAGACGCTCCAGAAAGTCACTGTCTTAAAACCTCTTTATTTCTTTTTTGATACTGTCAGTTTATGGCCGGTAACAGCAACATTTCTTTTCTTTGTTGAAAACTTTCTAGCTTAGTATAATTCTAAAGTGACTAAGTTATATTTTGACTGAATTTATGTAACAGTTATATAATCTTGAAGTGGCATCTGTTGCTACCTGCATTGCTAATCCCCGTCATGGGAGAAAGGAACTTGTCAGAATTGTTCTAAATGCAATGGTGAAATGGGTGCCATATGACATAATGAAGTGGCTAGAAACTTCAGATTAAGACATGCCCATAGAATAAAAGGATCTAAAAAGATAATAAACTCAAAAGTAAATATTTTCAAATGACAGATAACCGAATTAACAGAGAAAGTTACCTTTCTGTAGTCATTACTCCATAACAACCTTGCATCCCTGTATTTCTTGATCTGATGCTGCTACTTGATCTGAAATTAATTTAAAGGAATCCGTTTGGGAGTTCTAAAGATTTCCTTCCCTTTTTTTTTTTTCTAGTTACAGTTGCTTTTCCTGGAGTAAAAGGTGAGACCTATTGACAGTGTAGTAGGCAGGTGATGCTTTCCCAAACCATCCCTCTCCCTTGCCCTTCTTTCCCTTACCCTCTTGTCAGAGCACTAAACTGCTTTTCCTCTCGTATGTTTCCTCCTCCTTCTCCCCCTCACCCTGCTGCTGTTCCAGGATGAGGAGGATGACAGCGCAGGGACAGAGATGAAGACGCTGCGAGGACATTGCGGGCCTGTGTATAGAACCCGGTTCCTATCAGACAGTGCAGGGCTGCTCTCTTGTTCTGAAGACATGTCCATTCGCTATTGGGACCTTGGAAGCTTCACCAACACTGTGTTGTACCAGGGACATGCCTACCCTGTGTGGGACCTGGACATCAGCCCCTATAGTTTCTACTTCGCCAGCGGCTCCCATGACCGCACTGCAAGGCTTTGGTCATTTGACCGGACTTACCCACTAAGAATATATGCAGGACACTTGGCAGACGTAGACTGTGTAAAATTTCACCCTAATTCTAACTATTTAGCCACTGGATCAACTGACAAGACTGTCAGGCTGTGGAGCACTCAGCATGGGAACTCTGTGAGACTTTTCACAGGTCATCGAGGACCTGTGCTTTCTCTTGCATTTTCTCCCAATGGTAAGTACTTGGCATCTGCTGGTGAAGACCAGAGGTTGAAGCTGTGGGACTTGGCATCTGGAATGCTTTACAAAGAGTTGAGAGGCCACACAGACAACATCACTAGCCTTACATTCAGCCCAGACAGCAGTTTGGTGGCCTCTGCCTCCATGGATAACTCTGTCCGAGTCTGGGACATCAGGAATGCTTATTGCAGTGCTCCTACTGATGGCTCTTCCAGTGAACTTGTGGGCATCTACACCGGACAGATGAGTAATGTGCTAAGTGTGCAGTTTATGGCCTGTAACCTTCTTTTAGTGACGGGGATTACACAAGAAAATCAGGAACATTAGAGTGTATGTTTGTGTGTGTGTGTTAAGAGAGAGAGAGAATGGATTGAGGCAGAGGTGGAAGGCCTCGGGATTGCAAGTCCTATTAAATGAAATCACTGACTGAAATCACTTCCCTACTCTTTTCCTTTTCTCCTATTGGCAAACATCCTTAGAATGCCATGTCTTCATTCAAACTCTTCCCTGAAATTTGGAAGGAATGAGGTTCAGGAGAAAGGCACATGAAAGCAAGAAATAAAAGTGCTTCAAATCAGATGGCAGATTCTTTTAAAAGGCCCCTACTGTGACCATGTGGAAGTATTTGAGTATATCCATCTCATCTTTCCTGGTTACCTCACTGGGGTGGGGGTGGGGTGGGGGGGGGTGCTAGATTTTATTAATTTTGATTGCAAAGCACTTTCAAGGTAAGCAATGCTACAAATAGTATCAGTCACTTTGGTGGAAGAGAAATCCTTACTGATGATTTAAGATTGCAAGGTAGTGAGGAGCAGGATCCTGGCCAAAAAAAAAAAAAAAACCCCAAAAGCTCTTGTTTTCCATAATTACAAAGAAACTATATTTTTCATTATTGTCATGTAATAATTATTGAGAAAAGGGAATCTAGCACTGGCAGAGCATGTGTTCTCTGCTTTTATCTTCCAGGTTTATTCCTGACATAGGCTCTGATACTATGATTTCAAAGGTTCAGGAAAATGACAGAATTTGGTATATTAGGAGAAAGGGAAAATATCTGGGTGAAGATCACTCTGGCTGACTTGCTTCTAAAAGTGGGTGGGTGGAGTTATGGAGATTGTTTCGGGATCTTGGAGCAACAGTGGAAAAGTCTTTTCATGGCTGCACTTCTATTAGTAATTATCTCCCCTGAAACGAGTGATTATAGTAAAGAAATGGAGATAATTATAAATCACAAGATAGACCTGTAAGTATCAAATTTACAAATGACTGTTTATTCAGAAGTGTTGCATTTCTGAACCTCTTTGTCCTTGAGACACCTTGCTCCCACCTTTTAGACTGCAGTACCAACAAAGAACACTTAGTGAAACAGATCTTGGGTACACACACAAGCATATGAAACTGCTCTGAGGATAAATTGAGCTCTAATATGTGGAAAATCGATTAAAATTTCTGTTTTCTGGAAAGGTTTTGTATTTTCTTTTTATTAAAATGTTTTTAGTTTAAAAAATAAATGTTGGCATCTTTTGTAAACTAGAAAAAGAGGGTGTTTCATTTCTCCTGAAGTACCATGCATCTATCTACCTCCTCTCAAGAACAACAGCTAGGGTTGATAGCCCCAAACAAAGGTACATTTTTATCTTTTATATTTTGTTCCAATTAATATGAATCATGATTCCTCTTGGTATTTACTTGGATTTTTTAATAGCATTTCATACCATTTGTACATCCAGGATTGCCTGTGAAGGTATTATATATTTTACTATCTAGAATTACCTGGTAAGGCTGCACTTTCATCAGTCCTTAGAGGTCCACTAACTTTTCTAAGGATTATAAGAATTATGTCAATTAATTAACTCATAGTACTTATTGATAATTTAAGGTAAGAACTTGTTCAAAGATTAAATAATATCAAACTCAAAATAGTGATTTTTTTTTTAAACCTCTATAAAACTCAACAATTCATTGCTGTCAAGTCAGACCTTACTACCCTCCAGCGAGTTTTCATAGGCTGTAAAACACATAGGGATATAATGCTTATGTTTCACCCTCAGAACAGCTGATGGATTCAGACTGCCTACTTTGGGGTTGGTAACCTAATTTCTAGCAGGCCTCTGAAAACCCTGTGTACACAACCCTGCTTGCTGAAACTGAAGAGGACCTGAAGCACCTGCTGCAGAGGGTCAAGGACTGCAGCCTCCAATATGGATTGAGGCTCAATGTCAAGAAGACAAAGATTCTCACCACTGGACCAATTGGCAGCATCAGGATGGATGGTGAAGAGATTGAGATTGTACACAGCTTTAGTTTGCTTGGCTCCATAGTCAACAGTCTTGGCACCAGCAGCCAGGAAATTAAAAGGCGCATTGCCATGTGAAAGTCTGTTGTTAGGGACCTCTCCAAAGTGCTGAAGAGCAGTGGTGTCTCTCTGGAGACTAAGGTGCGTCTGATTCAGGCCATGGTCTTTGCAGTCACCTGTTACGCATCAGAGAGTTGGACACGACCAAGGAGGATAGAAGGAGAATTGATGCCTTTGAGCTGTGGTGCTGGAGAGGAGTATTGAGAATACCATGGACTGCTACGAAAACAAACAGATTTGTCCTGGAGAGGGTTAAATCGGGTGGCTCCTTGGAGGCAAGGATTCTGAGGCTCCGTCTAACATACTTTGGACATATTGTGGGAAGGACATCATGTTTGGGAGGGTGGAGGGACAGTGCAGGAGGGGAAGGCCCTCTATGAGGTCGATTGATTCAGTGACTGGGATAATCGGGATGGGAGTGTCAGAGATAGTACAATTGGCACAGGACAGAGCAGAGTTTAGGGCTGTTGTACATAGGGTCGCTATGAGTCGCAAGCGACTCAATGGCACGTAGCAACAACAACAGCCTAATTTCTGGATGACAACCACCTGGCCTACTGACTGGAAGAGATCTGTATTTGTTCCCATTCCAAAGAAAGGTGATTTGACAGAGTATGGACATTATCAAGCAGTATCATTGATACCACATGCAAGCAAGATTCTGCTGAAGATTATCCAAAAATGACTGGAACAGCACATCAACAGAAAACTGCCTAAAATGCAGGCTGGATTTAGAAGAGTCCATGGCACCAGGGATATTCTAGCGAATGTCAGATGGATCTTGGCTGAAAGCAGACAGTACCAGAGGAATGTCTATCTATGTTTCATTGACTATGCAAAGGCATTTGTGTGGGTCACAACAACCTGTGGCTGACTCTGAGAAGAATGGGAGTCCCAGAATACTTGATTGTACTTATGCAAAACCTGTACCTGGACCAAGAGGTAGTTGTTGGAAGAGAGCAAGGAAACACTGCATGGTTCAAAATTGGGAAGGGTATGCATCAGGGATGTATCCTGTCTCCATATCTTTTCATTCTGTGGAACAGATTATCGGGGAGGCTGGGCTCTATGAGGAGAAGTGTTGCATCAGGATTGGAGGTAGACACAACAACAGTCTGCATTATGCACATGGCACAACCCTACTTGCTGAAACTGAGGAGGACCTGAAGCTTACTGTAGAAGGTCAAGGATTGCAGCCTTCAATATGGATTTGAAGCTCAACATCAAGAAAAGAAATATTATGACCATTGGGCTGATTGGCAGCATCATGATGTATAATGAAGAGATTGAGATTGTTGACAGCTTCCGTTTGCTTGGCTCTGCAGTCAACACTTTTGATACCAGCAGCCAGGACATTAAAAGACGAATTGTATTGGGAAAGTCTGCTGTCAGAGACCTCTTACAAGGTACTGAAGAGCAGTGATGTCAGTCTGGAGACTAAGGTGCACCCGATACAGGCTATGGTCTTTTAATTACTTGCTATACATCAGACAGCTGGACAGTGACTAGGGATGATAGCAGGAGAGTTGATGCCTTTGAGCCGTGGTGCTGGAGAAGAGTACTGAATATACCATGGACTGCTAGGAGAACAAACAAGTTCATCTGGGAGAGGGTGAAGCCAGGCTGCTCCTTGGAGGCAAGGATTCTGAACCTTTGTCTGAGATACTTTGGTCATGTTGCAAGGCAGGATCAGTTCTTGGAGAGGGACATCCTACTTGGGAAGGTGGAGGGACAGTGCAGGAAAGGAAGACCATCTATGAGATGGATTGATTCAGTCACTGGGGCAATGGGGATAGGTGTGTCAGAGACAATTAGATTGGCAAGGGATAGAGCAGGGTTTAGGGCTGTTGTACATATGGTCGCTTTGAGTCACAAGTGACTTGACAGCATATAACAACCACCTAATTCCTTACCCACTAGGCCACCAGCACTCCCTATCTGAAAAATAAATTTGAACACTTAACTAAACAAATTCCACTAGACTGCTCTGTGCACCAAAATTTACTGCCTCTGAAAACCTGCTAGATGGTCAGCTTTGAGTCATTTCTAACTCACAGCACACAACAGTGACCAAAAACCAGACAAGTTGTGGGATTGCATTAAGGCATTACAGGAGAAGATGACGACAGCAAAAAAGTGATTAAAATAACAGGAAAGAAAAGACAAAAGTGGATGTCAGAAGAGACTAATCTTTTGTCTCTCCCTGTTTGGAACAAAGAAGAGTGAAGAAAATCAAAGACACATGGAAACAATTGGTGTATTACACTAACAGACTTCACAAACCTCCTCTTCCCAAAGGCCAGAACAAGCTGGTGCCTGGTGGTTACTGCTCTGAAAGGGGTCACAATAGAGCATCCTGAATGAAGTGGAAGATAAATGTAGAATTAAACTCATGATCCTAAAAGTGATTATGGTTACTGGTCTGAGAGAATCTGGTGGACCATCCAGCACTAAGACCCATGGTCACCTTTAGTACCTAGAACTGAACCTATCCTTGTGGCTCAGCATATAGCCAAACAGTACATCTATAAGGTGCATGATAACACTGTGGCAGTGGGGAGTCCTCAGAATGATGAGAAGTCAAAGATCAAAGATACAGCTCAGAAGATGGAAACGAGAAGATGGGAGGATGAAGGGAGACCATGGGTGGAAGTAGGAAGAGTGCTGAGTATTGTAATAGGCGTCAAACTGTACTTGATTGGAAAATCAGTCTGCTCTGTAAACATTCACTCAAATCTGAGTCTTTCAAATAGACTGAGAAACTTTCTATAAATGTAGAAAAACTAAAGCAAAAGGAAGAAATAATGTTGAAAAAGACAAACAAAAATGTCAATGGGCCATTCAAGCAGAGAGAGCAAAGTATTGTAATGAAATGTGCAAAGACCTTAGAACAGCAAAAGGGGAAAACAGCATTCTCAATGTGAAATAATGGGAGCAAAAATAAAACCTCAAGTTGCAATAGTAAAAGATT